TCTGGAACTTCAATATCAGCAGAGGTACACAGATTCACACGGCTATACGAATAAATGCTTTTTATTAAGCGCGAAAGCACGTGGATGAACCATACGGCATTATCACGGGCGTGTTGTTTAACTTGTTGTCTTGAGAAATCGAACAACCAGCAACAAAGACAAAGAAACACAAGCAAAAAAACACTTGAAACTGTTCAAGAATAAATTACTGATTATGACGATCTAATTCTTTAACCAGAGAAACGCCCTGGTCCCACCACAGGAAAGCAGTGTTTCGGCTTAATTGAAAGCACACTTCACGCAAACATAACTTCTCTTCTTCTCTCTTCTTCTCTCTCTTCACTGTTCTCTCTCACTCTTACGCATCTCTCTACACTTTAGGCACTCTTATCTCATCGCACTCAGTCACTTCACTCACTCACTCAGTACTCACTCTCTCTTCTGCTCCTCTGCTCTCTCTCTCTTAGTGCTGCTCTCTCTCTCTCTCTCTCTCTCTCTTATCTCTGCTCTCTCTTCTCTCTTCTCTCTCTCCAAAGCAGCTCTCTCACTGCACGTGCACGTCTTTCCCCACCCTCACTTCCGCACTCTCTCTCACTGCACTCGGTCACTCACCGTTACTCACTCTCTCGTCTCTCTCCTCTCCTTCATCTTCTCATCTCCTCTCTCTCTCTCGTCTCTTCACCTCCACATTCACCTCACATGTCCTTGTGATATTCTTCACAACATAGTTTTTAGGGGACATTGTTGAATATGAAACCGATACTCACTGTTAGGAGGGAGAGAGCGAGCTTTTATTATTATCAATTGATTTTTACGTGGAGAGATGATTAGTTGATTACCAACGATCTACGACACATACACATCATTCACGAATTATGTCTAATCTTCTCTGCTTGTTTTAGTACTGCACTCTTTCACTATCTTTTTCATTTCTCACCTTCTGTCTTGGGTAATATGATATATACCTCAACTTGCACAATCTCTCATCCAGTCTCTCGTCTCTCTATCTCGTCTCGTTCGGATACCGATCGTCCAATCATCGGTAAAAATCCGCATTCTGATAGATCCTGTTCCTTCTCGTTTTCATCATCAGAAAACTTTTGCTTTATATCTGGAGGGTTTCGTCATCTCTTCTCTCTCTCGCGTGCTTCTCGGTCTGCTCGGGATCTTGATGTCTCTCTCTTCTCTCTCTCTCCATCTCTCTTGCTCTTTCTCTCTCTCTTTTCTCTCGTCCTCTTTACTCTCTCATCCCTCGTCTCTCTCTCTGCGCGTCTCCTCGATCTCCCGTGGCTCAGTCTCTCCTCCTCTCTCTCTCCTACTCAGAAAACGTTCAAGTGAAAACGAAACCATTTTTGAAGTAGCGAAAAGCCTCGTCAGGGGAGTGGGGTTCGAGCGGATGCGCCCGCAGGAGGTCACCAGGTAGGGCGGCGCGCAGCCCATAGCAGCAAGCAGGGCGCCCACTACCAGCAGCGTCTTCCGCGCAGACCCGAGATCTTGGTTCCCTCTGAGCCGCAAGATTTCGTTGGCGTTCTGTTGCAAGAAGAACGTTGTTGATCGGAGGGCTGTGACATGGGCATTGGGCTAGGCTTTATAATGATTGCATAGTGTATATAATTATACAAATATGTGTATATGAATATTATACATATGTGATAAGTATTTAATAACATATACCATACAAGAGCATACTCACTATTCTACATGGCATACATAACTATATATACTATATTTAATTTAAACTCCTAAACTAAGTACAATACTAGTATACTATATACTGTAGAAATATAGGGCTAGTGACACGTGTTGTGGTGTGACTAGTGGTGTGTGTGTGTGTGTGTGGTGTGCTGTGTGTGTGTGATGTGTGTGTGCAGTAGTGTGTGTGGTCGCTGTGGTGTGTGGTGTGTGTGTGTAGATAGATGTAGTGTTAGCTGTGTGTGCGTGTCGTGTGTCTCGCGCCGTGTGTGTGTGTGGTGTGTATATTGTGTGAGTATATATGTTGCTCGTCATATATATAATATATGATATATATATATAATGATGTATAGTGACGTGTTATATAATAGATACTGTATTCCTGTATAGTGATTATATAACGTTATACTGTAACTATCCGGAACCTTTGTTTGCTGCTGCTCGGTGTTGTTGATGGGTGTGTGTGTGTGTGCTGTGCTCGTATGTGTGTGTGTATATCATGATAGCATAGGCGTGGTATGGTAGAGTGATAAATAGTATCTATATGTTATGATGTGCTGACGGTGATAGGGGTATCATGATAATAGATATGCTTATGGTATATGTATGATAGATATTGTTATGCTCGGTATAATATAATACATATACTTTACTATATATGGTGATATATTACTATAATATATTTCACCCTCTCACTTTAGAATGTTATGGTTATGTACGTGCTAATAATATATGAGTGTTAATATGGTTTTCATTTATTGTTTATTTATACTTTTTATTAGTTATTATTTGTTTATTATTAATGATTTATAATTGCTGTGTGTGTGTGTGTGTGTGGTGTATTGTAATATGTTATTATATAATGATAAGTAGTAGTATATATATATATATTATTACATATATACTTATATAGTATATATAATATATTTATATTTTTACCAGTATAATCACTCGATATTAATAGTGTGTGTGTTGTGTGGTGTATTGGGTATGTATATATATTATAAGGTATATTATATATATATAATATTATAGTATATATATAATATATTATATTATAGTAATAATAAGTATACTATAATTTATAGGATATCTATATATATAAATAATATAACTATATATATATATGACAGTATATAAATGTTTATATATATGATCTCGTATTGCTAATCTATTGTTCTTGTACTTTGGTGGATTGTTACTCATGAGGCTTAATCATTTTGTATTGATATATATTTATAGGGTATATTTATAGTACTATATGGTAGGGTGGAAGGCATATATACATATATATAATACACTATATAAATATTATGGTTCAACAATATGTATATATACCTAGTAATATATATATCATATTTATATAATATATTAACATATATACATGTATGTATACATATATAGTAAAATAGTAATTATATATATAATTATAATAATATATTAATTTACAAATTTATATTCACTTATATAGTATATACTTATTATAGCTATATAGATATATTATATAATATATTGTATGATAATGATTTTACCATATACTACATATACACTAGATACATCATATATACAGTATATATTAATATAATGATATATATATATACATTTTTATATAGTACATATTATACATATACATACATATATATAGTACTATACATATATATATATATAGGGTATAGATATTTATATATATATATATTACTATATATATTATATATATAATCATCACATCCAATTTATCACACACCCACACATATATATATAATAATTATATATATATATATATATACTATAATATATATATTTATATTAATATTTATATCATATATACATATAGAGTATATCCATATATATACATATATAATTATAGTATTATATTATATATTAAATTTATATAATATATATACGTGCATGTTATACATAAATATATATATATATATATAGTATTACTTATCATATTTAGTTAGTACATTTTTATATATAA